TCTCGCTGTGTCTCTCTCTGTCAAATAAATAAATAAAATCTTAAAAAAAAAAAAAAAGACATCTCAGGTGAGAAAACCCAGTTAATATAGTCAGGAATATGAATATAGATTATATCGTCATCAAATACAGACTGTTCAAAAGGATCATTTTCCACAGAAATTTTAGACTTTCCACGTGTCCTTTTTAAAGTCCACCTCACTGGCGTGATTGAGGAAAACTCTAATTTTGTAAATAGAGAAGTAACTGTGTGGAGCAAAATGGGATGTTTGCCTTTAAAATACAACAAATTAACATGACCTGTGGCTTCAAATAATAAAATTATAAGTTGTTGAATTATTTTAGTAAAGCGTTTCACTTTTCAGAGGTCCATTTAAGAGGCTCATTGCCCTTTTAGTATAAATGCTTCCAGAAGGCCCTATCTGGTGCATGTCTCTGTTCTTGGGAGGGAGGACAGGTGGTTTCTAAAAAAGAAACTGAATCGCATCTGTACCTGATTGAAACTTGACCTTACTGTAATTTATAGTAGAGTCACTTGCCTAAATGCTCCCTCCTCGATCCCTGTTATTCCCTGCATGCAGCACTCACAGGGCATCATAAACTGGATTCCCGGTGGAGAGTGGGAGGTTTCAGACTGCACAAAGCTTTCAGAGGTGATGGCCATGGCTTAGGTGGGACTGAATATCAGCCTTTTCCAAAACTCCGTTGACATGGTTGGGGGGTGGGGTGTCACCAAATGGAGAAGGGTGGCTGGACCTTTAAGTCCACATGTCCCAATGGACAGAATTGAAACTGAAAGGACACAGACATGATATTAAGAAGATAATGGAACAGTGTTAAACATTCCCCATGACAGAAAAGGAAGGGAAAGTCCAGAAGTGTTATCCACTCCTGAGTCAGTATTCTACTGATAGGCTCTGGGACATGATCACCAGTGTCAATGTCCAGAGCCAGAGAGAGCCCAGTGAGGCAGGGGGTGAGGGAGTCTGAGCAGGGAGAACTCCAAGTTCCCCATTTCACACAAAGCATCTTTAATTTCATCTATTTTATCACTTGGGGGAAAAAAATCTCGGGTCTAAAAAAGTTTGAGAACAACGATTTTGGTCTGGCACTCTGATGTTACAGATGAGCGTACTAAGGCCCGGAAAGGGTACGTGACTTGCTGAGGTGGCGTGAGCATCAGTACCAGCGCTCTGGCGAGAATCCGGTGCTCACCATCCTACCGCTCCATTTCTAGGTTAATGATGGGAACGTTAGGATGCACAAATCATTCCAGAAAACGCCACAAACACCCAAAACCTGAACAGCATCGTCTGGGTGGGAGACACAGAAACAAGGCCAATTTGGGGGTCCAGCTAATGCACCATGAAAGACCCCATATTAGGAAGAGAGAACTTTACAAAGATGTAAACATGGGGATAAATTGCTATTTTCACACTGAAAGTAGCTGGCTCTGTCCATATTCGGTCACTACAAGTAATTGAACAAAATATCCTACTTTTATGTAGCATAAAAATACACATCCATGCACACCCAGAAATGACAGGAAGAAGGGATTTTTTTAAATGCTAACCATGTCAGGGCATGAGATTACAGTGAGGTCACAGATATTTTTTTCCTTTCTTGAATTATTTCTTAGTTTCCACACAGAGTATGCATTACTTTAAATTTAAAAGTGGTTTTTATTTTGTAGGTTAGACATGTAATATTTATTGTAGCAGGAATCAAGTTTAGTGGATCACAAAATAATTATTTTCTTCAGAAGAAACCACTTACTTATTACTGTTGTTATATTGAGTTTTTAAATTTCCGGTTTAGTGGAGCGCTGCCAACTAATCTTATTCCCTTAAAAAGTTTGGAAGGCTTATCCCTTTTTAAGGATCATTTTTAAAACAAGTAGCAATGCTGTTTTTCATTGGTGACAGAATTTTGGTTTCACAAACTGGCCTTGCATGAAGGTGTAACAAAATCCCCCTTTGCTTTCTTAAAAGTGCCTTGACTATGTAGTATCTCTTTTTTTCAGGAGGAACCCTTCCTTGGCTAAATTCAGAACCAATTAAATGTTCCCTTTTGAGGGGCGCCTAGGTGGCTCAGTCGTTAAGCGCCTGCCTTCGGCTCAGGTCATGATCCCAGGGTCCTGGGATCGAGCCCCGCATCGGGCTCCCTGCTCAGTGGGAGGCCTGCTTTTCCCTCTCCCACTCCCCCCTGCTTGTGTTCCCTCTCTCACTGTGTCTCTGTCATATAAATAAGTAAAATCTTTAAAAAATAAATAAATAAAATAAATGTTCCCTTTTGGGAGGAAGCCTGAGAGAATTCCGAGTCTACATCAAGTTTGAAATTGAAAATGTTTTCCTTGTCCCAAAATTCTTGTATGGGAAGTTTACATGTATTTATCTTAATTGTCCAAATGAAAATAAGCATTGCTATTTCTAAAAGAACTGTTTAAAATATCTGCGAGATGGTTTTCAGATTATATAGATCTCATTGCAATCTCCATTTTACTATCAGCAGGCACAGCTGTTTGGTCTAGAAATGGAGGACAGGCCTCATCATCTCCTAATTATGAAGGACCCTTACACTCTTTGGTAAGTCTCGTCTGTTAATCTCTCCTCTAGCCATTTGGTGACCATGTTTCTCTTTTTGCATCTGGTTAACTCTCCAAGATTCTTATTTCACTAACAGAAACTTCAGATTTATGTTAAGCACACAAGTTTGGTTAGAGCCAGAGTTATTAGACTATTATTTATTCCTGTTTGTAGATTATAACCCAGATACTACTACAGTGTAAGCCCCAGGGCTCCAAATACCTAAGACCAGGTAAGAGATTAAAAATCTTGGAAAGATAGCAGTGTCCGCCGCATCTTTGGGAAGGGTCCCTGTCAATGAGTTAATAATTCCTGATATAATAGCGCTGGAGTTCCAGCCAAGCTGCGTAGCTGGAACACTTGAAGATTCAATATACCTCTGCTTTACTTTCCAGAGTGGCAGGCTTAGAGGCGTTCTCCTCTTGACCTCTAAATAAGAAGCCTACTGTCTGTTTCCTCATTCACTTTGGTTCTCCTAGAAATCTAGTAACATCATTAAATGTCTGTTCTTCCAGTGGCAAACAGCTGAAAATTTCCATGGGTATAATTAATATTACAAACACTCCCATGATGATTCAGTGTCTGACACTCTAGTCTTTGTCAACTCATGGTGGATGTGGCTGGAAATGTGCATGAAATCACACTGCTCTGGGCGGCCTTTGGTCAGTGTATGAATCAAATGGGGAGAAGTGGCAACAAGGAACTCTGAAATCCTTCAGGGGTGGGTTTCCCTCTTTTCCTCCCTATTTTGAGATAGAACATGGAAGAGGCATCAATTGATCCGTCTATCTAACTTAATGTCTTGTCAGCAGCTCAGAATTTCCTTTCTTCCCTTCTGGCTTACTGTTTGAATTAAGGAAAATCTAAAAATGGAAATATGAAGGTGGATTTCCCCCTTGGTTGTGGTCTTCCTTGCTGTAGTGTGGGATCATCCAGCTATGCATTTTAGCCACAAAAGGCAACCACAGGGTAAGACAAGGTATGCGCTACCTGCCTTGCCTACATTAATTAATTAATCTGCAGCCCACATCCAGATAATCCATAGTTGTTCTAAATGTTTACCTGCATCAATTATTCTCTGGGATCCATCTATCAAAACTAGGTTATGTCCAACTATAGAACCATAAAGACTCGGTTTATAGTTATGAACTATAGCTTTAGTTCTCTAAATACTCAACACTCTCAAGGGGATTTGCAAGCAGAAACTGCTCTCTCCACCAGGAAGCTGTGAGCCAGAAAGGGAGATAGGCACACGTATTACTTCTTTTCAGTGCTCACATTCACACTTGGAAGTATATCTTATCGTTCCCATTTTTTATAAATTATGACGTATAGACTCAAAGAAGTTTAGTACCTTTTCAAAGATTTCATAAGTAGCAGCGAGGAATCTAGGGAAGGTCTCTTAACAACAAAGCCCACCAAATCAGAATGTTCTGTACCATAGACTAACTGTATTAGACATACATTCCTTCTGTCAGTACAGAATAATTAGAAATTGTTATTCTCATGCAGCAGAGCTGGTACATCTGGTTACACAGCCCATTGGAAATCACAGTAGGCTGTAGCATGATCTAGTCCAAAGAGGCACTAGATTTGAAGTCCAAAGACTTAGATTCAATCCTAACTGTACCATTTCCTGGCATTGTGACACCAGGTAATTAATACTTAAGTTCTTTGAGCCTCATTTGCACGTCTATATGGAAGGGATATCATGTCTTCCCTGCTTGCCTTACACATGGAGAATGAAGATCCAGTGAAATGGCGTATTTTAAAATGCACACTGGAGAGTGGTGTGCAGATGTTTACTTGCTATCATTATTGATCATACTGCAAAAAGTGAATACACATCTACATGTCCTTTTTCTTCACCAAAAACTATAGTATAGACCTTATCTAGTTGCAGAAAACAGGATCCCAGTGGCGGGGATGAAAAAAAAAAGGTCAGTTGGTTTTGAATTGTATAATTTAATTATATAAGGTAGTGAATTTTATACAGAGTAAGGGCTTTGAAGTCATTAGAAGCCCCTGGTGAACAGTTGATTCATGACTTTGTGATTCTTCAGTCTTGAAATCTCATACCACTTTGGTTGGCATAGTTTTTGTAATTTTTTTTTCTGTATCCGTTTTGAGTTCCCAGTCCCCTCTACACACAAGGACAAGCTGGTGATAATAGATAGAAGGCAAGAAACAATGGTAAAAATAGATAGTACTCAGTAAGAAACTATAGTCTGCATGTATTTACCTGTCCTTGACTTGATACATAGCACTGTATCATATGCTACAGAAAAGATGAAGGAAATAGGCTTCCAAGAAGATAATGAAAATAATTTAATTGGGAAACTCTAAATGCATCATCTTCCCATTGTTAATTTTTTGAAAATTTTAATCAATATCCGCTAGAATGTTTCTTAAATTCTATAGATTTTTTTTCTGAAGTAAATCTAAATTCTCTTTCAAGCTAGTTCAATACAGTATAGCATATGTACATTATAATGTCGAGAAGAATTACAAAATATACTTTGTTCATGAAAAATAACACTATGATATACCATTAACATTTTTCACTACTTTCTTGGGAAGGTCACTGTTTATTTTTATTATTGATTCAAGGAAATAAATTGTATTGGAAACATATATTCAGAAACTCAAAGTATGATTTGTGCCAACTCAAGTTTTACTTCTGTAACCTATGCATGCATTTCAAACTAAATCAAATTTCACAACATTTATTAACCAACAGCAAAGCCGAATTGAAGATCGTTTAGAAAGACTGGATGATGCTATTCACGTTCTCCGGAATCATGCAGTGGGCCCATCCACAGCTATGCCTGGTGGTCATGGGGACATGCATGGAATCATTGGACCTTCTCATAATGGAGCAATGGGTGGTCTGGGCTCAGGGTATGGAACTGGTCTTCTTTCAGCCAACAGACATTCACTCATGGTAAGTGATGAAATTTGTAGACTCTTCAGTTACTGCATAGAATTAGAATTTCAAGTATAAATACCACTGCTGCTGTTTTTTTCTTTTTTAAACAGCTTTATTGAGATACATACTTCACTTACCTGCATTACACCCATTTACAAGTTTACAATTCCTTGTGTTTGAGTATGTTCACAGTGTTATGCAATCATCACCACAGTCTAATTTTAGGACGTTTTAACCCCTGAAAAAAGGAGAGAAATCCCCACGCCAGTAGCAGTTACACTCCATTTTTCCCTCTCCCTGGACCTTGGCAATGACTGTGTTCTGTCTCTATAATTTGCCTCTCTTAGATATTTCCTAACCCTGGAATCAGACAATATGTGATGGTCTTTTCTGACTAGCTGGCTTCTTTCGGTTAGTGGAATGTTCTCAGGGTTTATACATATTTCATCCTATATCAGATCATCATTCCTTTTTATTGCCAAACATAGGGATACATTATATTTATCCATTCACCAGGTGATGGATATTTGGGTTATTTCCACTCTTTGGCGATTATGAATAATGTTCCTGTGAACATTCACGTACTGGTTTTTGGGTGGACGTGTGTTTTCATGTCACTTGAGTATATACCCAGGAGGACATTGCTGGGTCATTACTGGTGTTTTAAATTCTTCATCTTAGTGACGTCATCTAGAGGACCCAACTTTTTTGTACATGTTATATTACTGGCATTTCAGATATGAGTAGGTTGAAAGTTATTATTATCAAAGAATCCAAATCAATGTCTTTTGATTCTGAGTGTGGGAGGTAGAAATATGTGGTGTGTTTATCTGCCTAAATATATGGTGTGGGACTGTGTGATTTAAGGATACAGTAGTTTATCACTGCCCATTTATGAATAAGTATTTATTTAAATAATATTTAAGCAGATTTGTCCATATTACAACTGAAATTTCAATTGTGCCCATTGCTTTTGGAAATGATTTGGGAATGCATTCGCCTTTTTTGGTGATTATGAAAATTCAGATTTTTTTAAGATTTATTTATTGATTTGTGGGGAGGGGAGAGCATGAGTGTGTTGGGAGGGGCAGAGGGAGAGGGAGAGAGAAACCCTAGCAGACTGCATGCTGAGTGCCGAGCCCGATGTGGGGCTTGATCTCAAGACCCTGAGATCATGCTCTGAGCCGAAACCAAGAGTCGGAGGCTTAATGGACTGTGCCACCCAAGTGCCCCAAAATTCAGAATCTTCCTAACAAAATGTTAAGTGATGACAGTAAGGTGACCAAATGGGTGGAGAATTTATTACTAATGATTCTGCGTATTCTGCTTATAAACACCTGCCTGATCAGAAACACTTTAGTGTCCTGTTTTGTACTTTGTAGGCTCTTAAAAAGTTGCTTGGATGAAAGCCTATCTTCTGTTACCAATATAGCATCTCTTGTTTACTGATGATTCCAAAAGGAGAATGCAGAATAGGCACAGGTTCTTCTGAGGCTTTTTAAGTTCTTGGTCAAGAGGATTCTTCTGTCCTCCTTTCACTTTCTCTTAATAAAAGACTGAGACTGAGAGGACCATCCTGAGCGGTGTATTATGGAAACCTGCAACCAATTTGAAGCCCAGAATACTGGTATATAAATAGAAGCAATGAACTCACTTGTAAAACGTGGAAAGATATTTCTGAATGCCAAAGCTAAATGTTTTTTTTTTTTCTTTTTTGCTTTTCCTTGACCTCTATCCTAAAAATTCATCATTGAGTAAAAATTGTTTGTCTATTCATGGCAGTTGCTAAGAGTTTACAAAAGGAAAATCTAGATGTTAATTTAGCTTGGCCTCAGGTAATGTGTTAAATACACTTGGGATGCATATAATATGAGGTTTTACTTTGTACAGCTCTTTTCTTTTTAAACTACAATGTTTAAACAATACTGCTTTTAATTAAGAAATCTGGCTTTATTAAAAGCCAGATCTGTGACTTATATAACCATTTCTCTATATCTGCTCTCAATCAAGAGAAAAATGGTTTAATTTCTGTAGCTGTGTTCATTTTGCATATGTTGAACGGGCACATTGCTTCAGAGACAGTTTTTTTTTTTTCCATAAATATGTAAAGTTTGCTCTTAAATACCAGATGTAGGTTAAGTGGTTCTTTAAAATAATAAACTATACATAGATGCTTTGGGGCACTCTTTGACCTTTGGGTTGCCTCCCCCTTGAGTCTGATTCAAAGGTGGGATAGGAGGAAGGGACCAGAATCATCTCTGGAGACAGGAGGTTGGCCTGGAGTGAGTAGAAAGAGGGGGAGAATGGAGCAGAGCAAAAGGAGGAGGGAAATAATCGGCCAATATTACACAGAAACGTTTTTGATTTGGTTTTGAAAACGCTCTGCAGAAGCCGTAAAGCTGCTAGTCTTGCTGAGGAGGAAGAGTTCCTATTCCCTCCTCTGAAGGCATTTATAATCCAATCAGGGATGACTGCAGAGCCGACCAGGTGATAGAGTAACCCCAAAGCTGTGGTGTGGTAACAACCTGCCGCCCTCGAAACCCAGTGAGAGGTATTTCTGTCTTTCTCCTTTCTTCCCAGAAATACCCAGCAGGTTCCACAGAGTCTGAGCTTTCCCAGCCTGAAACCCTAACGTGTGTGAAAGAGATGGGCTTGTCATTTCTTTCCTTGTGCAAACTGGTATGAATTTTCAAACAAAAACAGAAGAACAAAGGAAATAGTTTTTGAATTTAGTCAGTCTGAAGTTAGCCTTTGACCATTTGATACATTCCACAATAAAAAGGAAGTTGAAGGGGAAGAAGAAAAAAAACCCACCCCCCTTCCCCCTGAACAACAACAACAACCAAAAAAATTCAAGGAGGATACTGGTAATGTTTTCCACATTTGAATTTTAATACATGAAACAGGCTATAAAACTCAGGCCAGCTGCAGTAAATAAAGTAGCAGTGGGAGGTATGCACCGGAAACTTCGCTGCAGAGAACACTGGTGGGTGTTTCTTTCCAACTACACACCTTCGTTCGTTGTTCTGGAGTAGAAGCCAGTTTTAGTAACTTAAGACCCATCCCAGGGCTAGTTTTGTTCTGAGCAAATCTCCTTTATAAGTCCCTTAATAATTCCTCCTGATTAAAGAATAGACAGCTTTGAATCCTCTTGACCTCCCTCCTCTTCTTGCTTCTTCTCTCCCCGCCTTCCAAAAATCAAAACAAAATGGCTTGATAACTTGGAAGATGATATAAGCATTTCTTTCTGCGGCAGCTTGAAATTGTGGTGGGGAAAACTGGTTCTGCCTCGACTGTTATGTTATCTCATTTAATTGCTAACATATTGTACTTAGCTTTTGATTCATAAAATGTTTTCCTTGGAGTTCTGAAGTAGGTCTTCAGTGATTTACTAAGTATTAGTGTAATGAAAGGGATTTTTTTCACAGCAGCATGGCTCATAATACTAGCGTGAATGTTGTAGACTTGCAGGCTTTCTAGATGCTATTTGGCCATGCTCTTTCCTGCTCAGAAACCTTCACTGGCTTTCCATTATCTACAAAATAAAGACCAATGTCTTAATCCAGTTGATTAAGCCCCATTACCATTTACCAAAAGCCTTATGTTTAGCTATTCCAATATGTCAGAATTCTTCCAGCAAGACCAGTCTGTGCAGATTACCAGAATTTGCCCTTTACATTCTCATTAGGTAGTTCTTCCATGTCTATCGGTCTTGGCTTGCCCTACCCCCTTCCCTCTGTCCATCTCATTCCCACCAGTCTCAAGGTTCAGACTCAAATTCTGCCTCTTCCAGGAAGCCTTCCCTTGCTGCCTTCCGCTGTGATAGTCCATTTTCTTTTCTACTTTCCAGAGCTCTGTGAATCACACTGTTAGCTACATATTTTTTTTTTCTTTTTTAAAAAAGATTTTATTTATTTATTTGACAGAGAGAGAGCATAAGCAGAGGGAGTGGGAGAGGGAGAAGCAGGCTCCCTGCTCAAGCCCAATGCAGGACTCGATTCCAGGACCCTGGGATCCTGACCTGAGCCGAAGGCAGACACTTAACCGACTGAGCCACCCAGGCGCCCGGCTACATATTTTTCTTACCCAGTCATGCAAAACTATGTATCTTTTGTAGGCCTGACTTTGGCCTTATCACCTGTATTATAAATCCTTGGTTACTATGTATTACATTAGGTGCTCCGTGAATATTACCTCAGGCAGTCTTCGCAGGAGCCCTTTGAGGAGGATAGTGATGTCCAGTGTAGGGGTTGGTCAGATGGGCCTTATTGGGTTTTTGAGGAGGCTCAAGTCCCGAAGCCAACTTGAAACTCAGGGACAATGCCTTCACGTTCCACACTCTTTGTTTACTACCACTAGCGCTCCCCAGAGATTAGCTCTAGCTGCACCTTTCCAGGTAAGAGCTTGTGATTTTCAGATCTTGATAAATGCTCCTTGATGAAAGAATTCCCAGGCATCCCATGGCCAAGTTCCCAGGGCAGCTCTTTACCAAATGCAGAGGTAAAGAATTTTTCCTCCAGTGCAGTGGTATGCTAGATTAAAACCCTCACTGTCTAAACACTTATTCTTAAGTCAGCATTTCTGGGCTAAGTGGCACGAGGTGTAAACTCTCCTTACTAGGGTCATGAAGTAGTAAATTTTAAATTATTTTTCTTACACAAACCACCCACGTTTCCGACAGACTCAAAGCAGAAATCTCTGAATGTGGGAGAATAAGGAAACAGGTGGGTTTGTCACTAAGCTAATTAGACACTCTTACCCAGATATAACCCCCGTGTGCCTCAGATACCTCCGTGGTTAATCCTGATATTAAATCATTAGGTTTTTATAAATTATTGAAATGACAGTTTTCTGTCATTTATTTATTCAGAAAATAGTTCTCTCCAGTGTTCACTCAGTATTCCGATCCACAGATGAGACCTGAAAGCAAGCCTTTCAGATGACCTCATCTCCTCTTTTAACTGAATATGAACAAAACCCACATCAAAAATGTCTTCATGTGACTCTGTATGTGC